AGGGTCCCAGGGTTAAGGGCCCATGGGTTCTACCTTAGAGGCTCGACGGCTCGACAGTGTCAACAAACTATCCCCGACTCTGGCTGCACTCCATACCTACGACTGAGCCCTGTACTGAACCACGAACGCCATGTAGCCCCTTTAGCCTTTAGCCCAAGACGCCTGTGGCAAAGCGGACTTTGTCAAAGTTCTCTGGCCTGCTCGCCTCTGACGAGAATTTCGCCACCTGTTCGGGGAGCTAGGGTCTTCAAGCCCCAGGCCTTCAAGGAAGTTGCGGTCAAGTGTCGGAAATTCCGAAATTCCCACCCGCCTGCACCGCGATCTCTAGTTCAACCTTAAACCCACTGACTACCGATTTGATGTATTTGAGCGAACATATACATATATATACATATATATATATATATATATATTTCTGACAAGTCTGTTCGATCTACTCTGCAAGAACCGCGCGGCCAAGACAACGCGGCTGCCCCACCTGATCGGCTCTTGCAGTGTTTCCATATACATTGGACTCGAAACTGGCTATACAAGCTTGTATATCAAAATATACATGCATCATGCCGAAACCTCTTTGCTGCTGAACGCTCGCAGCACACAGGAGCAAAATGCCACGTAGGCGGGCTATACAAATCCATAAGCAGCCATCTGGGGCTGTTCGAATCATGTGTCTCAACTTACATTCAGAGTCCTATAACTTTACCTTCGTGGGAACTGAAACCGTCATCTCCCTTGTTGGACTTCGCAGCCAGACCTCGTGGTCAAAGATGGCATAGACGCCGTGCATAAGAGCGACCTTGACCAAAGGGAAAGGCCTATGTACTCGTACCTGCATCCTTCCTCTCATGATTCGCCGCGCGTAGCACGCTACACCGAAAACAGATTTGAAGGCCAAAGTCCCGAAACGAAGCTGAAGCTTCATGATTTAAACTCTATACGCCCCACATTGGTTCATCCCAAACCCAAGCGCCTGCTGGCAGCATTGGTACCGGCACCTATGAAGTCTGAACCTACAATCTCGAAACCTTTTAACTCCCAAGCCCAGAACCTACAAGCCCCCGAGGTTGGACCGCTGATTCCGAGCAAGTGGCCTGCCGAGCCACTTCCAGGCATCGGCATATCGCAAGAATCGGAACCTTAAGGGGCCTAGTCGGGAGTTGAGGCCTCGGGTATCAAGTCGGTGCTGAGGTTTATACAGGGCTTAGCATAGGTTTAGGGCTTTGAAGCCATGGCTATGAACCTAACTGCCCTGCTGTTCTTCCGTGTGCCCCTGCCCTCCATTGACGGGAGGCCGTTGGTCGCCTCTGCGCCAGAAGCCGCACCGATTCTCCAGTGGCACTGAAGACTACCATGCCACAGGCATTCATGTCCTGATGATTGGAGTCGAGGGCTTCCGGTCCAAAATTCCCGAAAACAGCACAAGCTATGCAAAGCTTCATCCCCCTCAGCTCTCTCAAGATCCTACGTTAGCCGAACTTTGGCGGGCTTACAGCCTGCTTGCTGTTTCTGAAGCTGTCTACAGCACCTTCCAATCTGACGCGACAAGACCCAGAAGCCTCTCGGCCCCTGTACAAAGACACGCCCGACACATGTGTGGAGATCTCGGCTTTACATCGAGGGGTCGCGCAGCTTTTTGAAGACCTGAGTTTTGTGCCACAAGCCGGCGGTGAGGCATTCCTGGGTTTTACTGGAGTAACAAGAGCTATAGGCTTAGCACGGCATGAGCATTTGTCACAAGAGAGCACTGGAGAGTCCTCGGCCAGGGTCGCCGCAGAACTGAGAACGGCTTCTGTTGCGATCTGCGTGTCGGTGAGGTGCTGCTTTTCCATCCTTCCCGAGTTCACGCTTGCCTGAGAGTTGGACTCTGCGGCTGGGCAGTGCAAGGTCTGGCGGGCTTGACTGTAACTAGCGCTGAAATTTGTATTGCTGCGGCAATGTTTAGCTTGTGGCTCTGACTATGACTTCATGAAGGTGAACACCGGGTTGATGCCCTGCTGTCCGCTTAGTTGACCACATCTGAAACTGCGGCACTAACCCTTAGTCCGCAAGCCGCCAAGCTCACCTGCTTCCTGTATCAATCCACGCGCTTAGAAACGAAAATAAAAAAGCACGGACACGTTCACACCTTCGGCATGAAACTCGACCACAGCCACAGCCAGGACACGAAATCAACACGCGACTCCGCACTCTCGATGACCCGGCGCTGCATAGCCACGGCCTCTGCTGGGTACTTGCCAACCTCAGCAAGTGGGATCACTCAAGAAACGTTACAAGATCGGACTCTCGATCCCCAGATAACCTCCAGCTGTGGCATCATACAGCCTATCTCAGGGAAGCAAATCGTAGTGGTGGTATAGCACGTGCTGCTCGTGGAGGTTACGGGACGGAAGAGGCGGCTACGGAAGCAACTGGGTGTGCTCTGGAGTCACTCTTAGTCTTTGTAGCTGAGGAACGGCAGACTCACCACTCAGCATAACGGCATCGCAGCCATCGATAATGGCATTCGCAATATCACTGCACTCCGCGCGTGTTGGCATCGGGTTGGTGATCATTGTCTCCAACATCCTCAGCTCGTGGCTTCCGTCTCTGCCACACTCGGCTTGACAAAGGCGATACTCTAATTAATCACGAGCGGAGCCTGGAAGCCCTCTCTTTATATTCGATGGATGACGAACCGCCGTACGTGCGAATCTGAGTAGGCACCAAAGGACTCAGGCGTGTTCGGACAGAAACGGGCCATGTGCTTGGCTTCTGCATCGTCGCTGTCTGTTGAAGTATGCTCTGGGCTCTTGGTTATGAGTGAAGGACACCGCCTGGTTACGTCCTTGTTTCAGCACGTGCTTGTGTTTTCTCTTTGCTTGAAACACATCCATCATCTGCTTCTGCTGCCGCTGCTGCTGCTGCTGCTGCTGCTGCTGCTGCTGCTGCTGCTCTTGTCGTAAGATCTGAGGCTATGTCTTCGGCTGAGAAAGCCACGGCTCTGCGTTGCCACGATGACAGGCTTCCCGACGAAACGGGCACTTTGAATGATCTCCTTCTGCACGAAAGGCACGTCCTGCGGGGCTATCGCATTACAGCACTTGAGTTGCGAGGCAGACGGAAAAACTTGGGCTCAAACCTCAATTACACAGACATACTACTTACAGCCAAAACACTCAAAGCACAGCGAGCGCAAAGGATGGAGCAGAAACTAAGGACAAAACTAACAGAGAAATCCCAAGCCCGAGCTTTCTAGAAGCAAAGAGACCTTAACTATGGACAACCCTTATAAACCCTGAACCCGCCAGGTACCTACTCTTTACGTTACTAGAGCCCCTAGGGCCCTTTTAGTAGTTACCTGGAGGGTTAGGGAACCCCACCCCCCAAAAGCGCTAAACCCTAAACCCCTTTACCCTAAACCCGAAGGTCTCCTGGGGGTTCATCTCGACTCCCAGGTCCCCGCGGGCCACCATCACACCGTCGCACTCTTCCAAGATCTTCCTGGGGCTACCACCCAGAGACTGCAAAACCCCTTATTCAAGGAAGTTACTGTAAACTATAATAGGAACCCGAATATGATTTAGGTTATATTCCTTGATTAAGGGGTTTTGGAGTCTCTGGGCAAGGGGCCATGATGATCAGAACAGGGTTTGGGGTCACAAAAATATAGCAAAATCATCAGGAGCCCGATCGAAGGAATAAACAAGATCCCCCTAGGTGTGGGAATCTCGCTGGCAGATTGTTTTTTGTTTCAGGAGTTGTAGAAGAAATTAACGTAAAGAACCTTTACATCCTTGATGCGTGTGGCACCCCGGCCCTTTGGACACCCGGCCCTCATCAAAAGAGAAGATTACTTACACACACATGGGGCTCTCCGGCTCCCTTAAAGTCTTCAGAATTAGAAACTACTAGAAACCAATAATAGAGCATTAAAATAAAAAAACAAAAGAAACACAATTGATCATTCCGAAAGTCCTGCTTCCTCATTTCCTGTCAGAAGTTTCCTTTCCTTCCTGGGGCAGGTGGGGTGCCGAACCGCTTCCGGCCTTTCGATTCCTAGCATACGAGGCGATGCATCAAGGGCAGGTCGAGAAATTGGGGCTTAGGATAGTTGGTGGCTTGGGCTTAGGATCATTGGGGGGGGGGGGGGGGGGNNTTGGGATTGGGAGAATTGGGTGTCTAGGGCCTAGGGCTTGCGGTAAATAGGGTGGTTAGGTCGGGTAAGGCTCATAACCATGGGGTTTAAGTTTAGGGGACTGTACTGTAAGCACTTTAACCCGATCTCTCTGTCTACCTGCTGGACTTTAGCCATGAGCTTCTGGCGTGTCAGGAGGAAGGTGCGGACAGACTTGACCACTTACTTCACCCTGCATGATTAAAGCATTCTGTGACGACAATCGGCTTTCTCGTTCCGTGAAAGCCTTGGCGGGGGAATGAAAAGAATAGACAACAAGATGGAAGCACCATCAGAATACTCGGAGCCTCATCAGCAAGTCTCACGTTTCGCAAATCAGGGGTCCGGCGGATCATGTATACAGAAAGAGGGCGACAAGGAGAGAACTGCGCATTGAACATGTCAGCGGATATAAGTCAGTGAGCATATGATGGGCTAGCAAGTGTCGGTATGTCTAGGCTCAGGCATCCCACCGCACTCACGCCAGGCCCCTCCAATAATGACTCTCTCTAAATGGGGGTTTCCAAAATAGGGTACCCTAGTATAGTACCNNATACTAGGCTCCTTATTATAAGGACCCCAAATAGGTACCCTAATTTCGGAAAGTCCCAAATCAGATTATCAGGAACTTGGCGAACCGGGCATTCCTGAGCTCAAAGGTCCCCAGAGAACCGAATACCGCTTAATTAAAGAATTATCTTAAATCATAACATTAAGGCCCCTATAGTTTAAGGTATATTCCTAGCTTAATTAAGGGGTATTAGGTTCTCTGGATCTATAGACTGCAGTTTTTTTTACTGTTTCAGTCCTGAGTCTCTCGAGTCCGGTTCAGGAACCGCCTGTGAGTTTGGGGTTTTTACAAAAAACTACTTTTGGAGGCTCAGGGTTTAGGGTTTAGGGTTGGGACGTAGAAAGCAAGATAGAAGTAGACTTTCAATACCCTGTTTGGGGATGCGCACTGAAGCACCGGGATTTGGGGTTTTTGTAGACCGCTGACCATAAACTGTACATAAACCACCTTTTCCTCAATGACTTCTCTGCAGAGAGTCTGAAGATCATCCACTGCGGAGGGCTTCTCGATCTTGGCCAAGAGCTTCAAGTCGGGCTGATTAAACTCCTCACTGTTCACCAGGGCTCTCAGCTCCTTCATGTCCTGGCAGCATATGGCTTGAGAGGATTCTTAAATCATAATATTAAGGCCCCTATACTTTAAGGTATATTCCTTAATTATGTGAAGTCCCGACTGACTCGAGTCTCGGCCCCGAGGTGCTTGTCTCTGTGCCTCTCAAGCCATTTTGCTTTGGACACGCTGACTGCCTTTTTTTCCCGTCTCGCATGGCTGAGGACGATGCTCACCAGCGAGGTTTGCTTGGGGCAAAAAGTTTAGGGCTTCCGAGCACTTGGGCCTGCAGGGTCGGCACGAACTAATTCCACCCCAGGCCTGATTTTTGTGGCATTTTTAAGAGCCCTCAAAACACTGCCACATCCGGGGAAAACATAGGGCGGGCGCCTTGTCATGTGGTGGATCCTACACAACTCTCTTCCCAGACCCCCGAACCATCCGTCCTCGTGCTTCTGGACGAATGACATGGCGACCCAATCGACGTCGTGCTTGCAGCAGAACTTCAGATCCGCTTTGTCCTGGATGTTCCCCGATTCCCCAGGATGCTTTCAGATAGCTGCGCGGGACTTCTCTCTGCGATGTTCACCTCCCTCCCTCCACCTCTGCAACAGCCGTCGCTAATCCCTGGGACATTCCCAGGTCACCCAGTAGTAGACAGGTGGTCCTTGGGGGTGATTGGAGACATGTTCAGGATGACGTCCGGCGTGTTCACACCCTTCCGGGCTCCAAGGTGGCCGGGGACGGTGACCTCCCGAGACAACTTGTTTGCTGCCTAGACCGGTTCAGAGCAACATAGACAAGATGCTGCGATACCCCTGTACAACACAACTCCCCTCCAGAGCCGCAAGACGCTTATACAACAACACGGCAAGAAACTGCCTGTAGTCTCCATTGTAGTTCCTTTTGGGGGATACCTTATAAACTCGTTAATATATATATATATATATATTATTTTTTTTGGTTAAACCAAAAAAAGGAACTACAATGGAAACTATAGGTGCGTTCCAAGTAAGAGGTGCGGCGCCGAGCCTCGCATTCCACGAAAGGTGTGGCTCCAGCTGCTTCCTGCTCGACTTCCTCGCCATCCACGAGGTAACCCTTGCGAACCACCTGAAAGCAGAAGCGGCAGGGGCCCAAATTCTGCTTCTGGGCCTGTCCTTTCTGAGCCGACTATGAATCGACAAGATGGTAGGGCCTTGGTGGCAGACACCCAAACCTCGAAGTTCTTTACGGACTCGACCGGCTGTTCATGGCAAAGTTCGATGACCGTAGGTTCCGAAACAAGCATGTTCCCATCTGCCCCACGACGCAAAGCGGACTGAGGGACTGGTAAGATGGATAACCGCTATAGGGTCCGAATACCTGCGTAAGCTTATCCCATTCTCTCCTGCCTGCATACTGAACCTACAGCCACTTCTACTGTTTCTTCCTACCCGATTATTGATTATAGAGCACCGGGACCCTGCGGGGGAATTTTGCTTTTTGTTGCCTTCATCCGGATCTTGCCATCATCCAGCAACAGGCGCTGATCCTTCCCAGGCTCCAGAGCCTCACATAGAGATGTCGAAGTAAGCTTGTCTTTACGGGTTGTACAAGGTGATGGGATTTATAGGGGCAACATGATGTCATAGAATGTCTTCTGCTGCAAACTAGACAAGGACTAGCTGGGCAGCCAGCCACTCAAGTTCCAACCTCCATATTACTTGACTGCGTACCCTTGACGGATATTCTCATTGACGAAGATATAACCTCATTTGAGCCTTTGGGCTTCCGGGGACAAGTTCGCATTCGACTTCGACCGTAGGGCAAAACTTTAAAGATCCAGGAGAACAAAAAACCAAATTTGTGAATTTTAGAAAGCACCGGCATGCCTGTTTTGGAGGGCTTCCTGGTTCCTCCAGCTTTTGCAACAATCCTCAGACCTCACAACCACACCCTGATCCCTGAAGGAGGACACCTCACATCGACTTATGACCACCAAGAATTTCCCGTAAACGGCCAAAGCACTAATCCGCACACACCGAAACTGACATTCCTGGAAAGCGGTAGCCTCCAAAATCTCGGGGTGGGGCAGCTGGACCCGCTTCTCCTAAGAACAGAAACTGCAGCTCGTCCCGTTTACGTGGGTTGAGGCTTCAGGGCTTTGGGGCTTTTGGGTTCCGGGCGTGTATAAGGCCTATACTCTGAGGGTTTGGGGTTGCATAGGAAGCGACTGCCGCCACCCCAAGCCTCCGTCAACCCCTGCAGACGGGTTTGAGGCTCACGAGCTTCGTCCCGAAATTCCGAAACCGCCGCCAGTGGCTTTTTTGGGTGAAGTGATCTAAGACCCTAAGTTACAGTTGGAGTCATAGCAAAGCCGGCCCAAAGCCCTAAAGCCCTGAATCCATCAAACCAAATTTGGGGCCGAACGACTTTTCCGGCATAAGGCCCCGCCTCCTGTGCAAACTGGCAGCCCGGACCCCACAACCTTATGTCTACCCATAGGCCCCATAGTAGTTCCTTTTTTTTGGGGGGGTCCATATTTTTCATCCTATAAGGTAATCCCCAAAAAAAGGAACTACTATGGGGCCTATGGGTACCTGGTGCCCCAGAGGTACCCTGAGAACCCAATACCCCTTGATTAAGGAATATACCTTAAATTATAGGGGCCCATATTTTATGATTTAAGGCATATTCCTTAATTAAGGGGTATTGGGTTCTCTGGCTATAACAACTCGATAAACGAAATCTGCATCCCCCGAGGATCGTTGCCCAGCGCGGGGTCCATGTCGAAACGAAAAAGCTGACCGAGCTGCAGCCTTGATACTCCAATGCTTGGGCTTTTTTTGCCTCCTACTTAGGGTTTAGGGTTTAGGGTTTAGGCTTTTTTGCCTCCTACTTAATTAGGTTTGGGGTAGGATCTATAAGGGTTTTTTGGGTTTGGGTCGTGGCTCTGCAGCGGCGGCGTGCCTGGCGTCGGGTACAAATCAATCTCTCAAGAAACTCCTCTGTTTTGGGCGCTCTTCCTCGTCCACGTCGCACGAACTTAACCCTCACATGCAAGCCCGCATCGACCTGCTCCGAGAAACCCTAAACAGATTCGGTAACCAAAATAAAATCCCAGACCCTCTCAGTGTCAGGAAGCTCCACGCCATCGGGATCCTCGAACTTGCCACAGCGCTGTTTCGGACCCTGCCTGGTCTACACAAACGGCTGGGATCCTTTACATCATACTATACCATATCGTATATTGTAGATTATGAAACAAATATTACATTACATGAAATATATGACATATGTGTAATATTGTTCGAGAGAGAGGGTCGCTTTTTGTACAAGTTGCTGGGCCTATCGGGACTGCAAAAAATATGAACTGCGTAGCATGTCTTGGTATTCAAACGTTGGGTTCAATCATGGCGAACAGCATGGCCGGAATAAGAAGCATAGCGGCGACATTTTCGAGCTACCGATAAACAAAAGTTTGTGTTGCTTCAGAACTGAAAGCCTTATAACTCCAGTTCTGACTGGCTTACAGGAGTTTCTATTCACAGCCAAGACACATCAGAACACTAAAAACCTTGCTGAAGAAAACACATTCAGGCCTGACTTTCCATGTTCACTCCCAGTTTCTGAAACAATAGACTCGGTGAATGCCAGCACACATGACGATTGCGCGTGTATGAAACGCAACGAATACTTAATAATATTAATAGAGCCCTGCGGTCGCTTGGGGTTCGCCCTCTGCAGTGTTCATGGGGCCTGAAGCAAACTGCTATGTCACAGCCTAGCGGCAAGTCCCCCAGAATGGCGATGGGATGCCTGTGCAGCTTCGGACGTTTTGTTACCGCATGCCAGATGGAGGGCCGACGCGTTCTCTGGAATGGTAGCCTGATCCTGAAGAACCTTTGCTTAAACTCGGAGCAGCGCAAAGCATGCCCCGTCGTCAGCCTGTACTTGTCCTCAATGTCGCGGATCTTATCGATGAGATCCAGCTTCTCCTCATGCTCGCCGTGCGAAAAGTTGAGCCGAAAGACGTCAACCCCGCAAAGGAAGAGCTTCTCCTGAGCTGAAAAACAGGCCAAGCAAAGTCTTGAGGACAGACATTCGGCAGAGCTTGAACTCGAAAAGGACAAGTGAAGGCTCTTGGACAAGATACTTACCTAGCGTTATACAAACAAGTTAATAAGCATGCAACAGGGTCATTTTTGCATGTTTGCTACCATATGGTTTATATGAACAAATGAGTACATGCACATGCATACATATACACATCGAAATGTATGTGTGCATGTATGCATGTATGCATGTATGTATGCATGGGTGCATGTGTGAATGTCTGTCTGTCTGTCTCTGCCTGTCTGTCTGTCTGTCTGTCTGTCTGTCTGTCTGTCTGTATGTATGTATGTATGTACGTATGTATGTATGTGTGTCTGTATGTATGTGTGTTTGTATGTATGCATGTGATATATGTATATATATATATATATATTTATTTATTTATGCATCTACACATACAATATGCCTACATATGTATATGTGTGTTTGCGTGCATGCTTGTGTGTATATGTGTGTGTAAATCTTCACCTATGTATATACATATGTAAGTTATATATATATATATACATATATATATATATATACATATGTATGTATATGTATATGTATATATGTATCTACACTTACCTAAATGTGCATATGTGTATGTATTCCTACAAAGTTTGTTTTTCTCGGCCCTTGCCCTGCTGTGACTGTTGCGAGGCGCTCAAAGGCAAGGCGTTGGCACAGCACGGGAAACAGTTGAGGGTTTAGGGTAAAATCTTGGTGTCCTTTGCAATGCTGCATCATATACCCGCTGGTCTTGCTCAGCAGTGTCTTTCTAGCTGGACAAACGCAGCTTGTTTTCGTGAACAGACTTCTTGCTGAGCATGACCCAATTGCCGGCCGACTCTCTTCTTTCCATAGTCTATGCCGCTAGCAGATCTCGGTGTAAACGAAACTTACCTTAAAGGATTTTAAAGGGCCTACATTGGAATTTCGTAAGATATGGCCAAGAAGTTTCGCCCGGCGCTTTTCGTGATATCTAGTGAACGCAAATAACATCAGGATCTGGGAATGCTGCATGAGATGCTGCTCCTGCATGACGTCTTCGACTAGTATTTGTACGGTTGATATAAGTCGAAATCACACCCCCCAACTTTTCAATTTTCTCAAGCTCGGTATTGCAAGGCATTCAGCTTCTTCGCTAAAGCAGGTGTAAGATGAATGGTCTCTGATGCACAGAGTGGCTTACCGCATCATACACAATGACTGTCGATCTCTTTGTAGAGCTGGTTGCCTTCCAATACGCATTCAGTGTAAACCATGTGCGGCGGACTTCCTGCATCTTGTTCGAAATTTCATGTGCAATGAAATTAACAGCCCCATGTATTTCAATACGCAAGTACGTGGCTTCATAACTCGTTGTTTTCTGTACATTTGTGAGTACAGTACCAACAAAGAGATGAGTATTACCATGGTTGTTCATATAAATATATATGTATATATGTTCCCCCCCGNNCCCCCCCCCCCCCCCCCCTCTCGTCCTAGAATTTTGTGGCTGGGTGAACCCCGCCACGAGAACAGTAGATCCACGAGGGCGAGGGGTAGCGGATCTACCATCTGTGGCTGGGTGGACACCACCCCAAGGATCCTGAAGCAAAAAATGAACGAACTTGGCCTCCTCTCCCGTCATTACATGGCGGCTGAATCCTTCGGGTCATGGAACACTACCGCCCAGTGACTAGCAAGCTATCTTGGAAGCCCTTAGAAGTTAATGGTAGGAGATGAACTGGAATTAGAGGTTAGTATTCTATCACCTACCTCACCTGTCATATCTGGGACTCTTGTTCCTGCTTCGTTTTGTTGTACTTAGTTGGATGGTGGAAAGGAAAGGAGGAAAGTGAGTGAATCACTTTTTTCATTTCTAAATTAACCAAAACGCCAATCGAATTACGTAAATTTCATGTAATGAAACAGGCGCTTCTCTTTGTTTCGCTTGTGTCATTCCATATCGGTAAATTAAATTGATCTTTTGGCACAAGGAACCAAGTCCGCAAAGTGGATCAAAGTGCTGGGTAGACCTCCCAATCGACACCGCAAGAGGTTGATAGTTACCGAAGTTTCTTTTTCACGTTAGTGAGTGGAGTTGACGTATCAAAAAAAAGACCAGGAGGATGAATTAAGCGTCATGTAGGGTTCACATTGGTGTGTTTAGTCCAATAAAATAAAACAAAGAAACGAAGTCTACTATCCTTTTAAAACAAAACACATCTAAGGACGGGGCCAACATTTCCATACTGCTGGAAGCCGGTCCCACAGTGGCAACCTGCAAAGGACTAGCAGTGACTTGCACGAAGGGAACAAACACACACACACACACANNACACACACACAGACACAAACACAAACGGACGGACGGAGGGAGGGACAGACGGACAGACCCGCACCCCCCACCAGCCGAGCCACCCAGGCACCCACACACGCACTGTTGTAGCCCTCAGCACTTGCCCACCTGCTTGGCACCCTTGCGGCAACTGCGCACCACCTCGCCCTGAATCGTGCGAGTCTTGTCCTTGGTTCGCGAAGCCGGGTTGTACGTTTACACAGATCCTCGCTCATCTTCACTGCCGCAAGCTTCAACCCAAAGAACCCAATACCCCTTAATTAAGGAATATACCTCAAGTTATAGGGGCCCTAGTATTATGATTGAAGGTATATTCATTAATTAACGTGTATTGGGTTTTCTGGGAACAGTCTCAGTCCAAGGTGCAAAAAGGTTAGCAGTGTCCAGGCTCAGCAGATCGTCAGGAATGGGAGCCGCTTTCACATCTTTGTCTCCTTGTTCAAGGAGTTTACTCGGTTCTTCCTAGGACAACTCAGCCAAAAGCCTTTCCGAAGGCTTCTGAGATGCTGTTTCCGTGTTAGGATCGACCTGTAGTTTCCATTGTAGTTCCTTTTGGGGGATACCTTATAAACTCGTTAATATATATATATAT